ACAATTTCTCCAGTGTCCTAAACACTCCAAACAGGGCCTCAGCGATTTTCTTCGAGGCCGCCTGGCTGGAGCTGCTTTCAGAGTGTGAATTGAAGAGTTAAGCTCCTGGGTCCTGTACTATCCCTCGCAAAGGGCACCCAACAGCTTAGTTTACAGACAAGTCTGAGTCACTCTATCCATTTCTAGCCCTGGCAATAATTAGCTTGTTATTGAAGGGAAGTTTCCCTTCCCCCTCCCCAGTGCTAGAGGTGCTAATGGCAGGTTGAGGTGAATAATCACTCTATCAACAAGTATTCATGAAGCACCAACAAATAGGAGGAAGCAAAAGGTGCCAGGAATCGCTTCCCAAATCCTAATCCCCCAAGGAAGCTTAATTCTCTACAGGCAACAGGGCTGACCTCTTCGCTGGCCTGCATTAGCTGTCTCTTTTATCAATTTCTGAGCCCGTTTTGCAGATATCTACAACCTAAGGGAGGTTCAGGAAAGCTTTTCTTTCAGTAGTATTGCTACAGAACTGGCCGTGCCATACCAAGATGCCCCAGGTGAGCCTGTGTCAAGGGATACAGCTGCTGGAGGCTTAGGCAGCTGTGTGTATACCTCCCCCCTCTCCACTTACACCTCCTCAGTTCCTGCCTAACACTTCTACAGGTCCCTGAGCCCCTCGTTCCCAACTTGGGTCTTGCTTCTTTTCTGCCTCTTCCTCTCTAGCCTTGATTTGTTTAATCTCTTCTGAGATGGACCTCATATGCTGTTCACTGGAGCAACTATTCTCGGTTTAATTTAGCATTTATTCTTAGCCTTCAGTTCTTTTGTTCTATTTCCCTCCCAATGAGAGCTTCAGCCTCTTGTCTTCACTGTCTATCCCAGGGGTGGGGAACCTCTGACCTAGAGGGCCACATGTGGCCTCGAGGCTGCAGATTCCCCACCCCTGCTCTATCCCTTTCTCTCCTGACTCTCATCTCCTTCTGGTCCCAAGGTATCCACAACCACATGACATCAGATCACAGATTCAGAGCCAAAGGGACCACAAGCATTGTCAAGTGCAACCTACTCATTTAGTTTATTTTGCCTTTTTAATGTTACCTTTTTATTTTAAAGACTGGATCTCCCTATCTTGCCACAGAAGTGCAGGGGTTACTCATACATTCAAATCCATTACTGATTAGAATGGAGTTCCCTTCGCCTTCCTTAGGCAACATGGTGTACCTTCTCTCCCCTCACTGCTCACCCCACTCCCAGCTTATTATTTTGATGTTGAACTTAGTGTGGACACCCAATCAGCATAGCTTACTGCAGCTTAGGATTTAAACGCTCAAGAGAACCACCAGACTCAGCCTCTTCTTAGCTTCAATTATAGGCATATACTATCATGCTCCACTGAACTCTCTCATTTTATAAAAGGGGAAACTGAGGCTCAAAAAAGTTAAGCGACTTGCCCAAGGAAACATAGCTAGTGTTTGAAACAGGATTGGAACCCCCCTCTTAATTCAATTTCAGTGCTTCAGTCTGCCTCCTGTCTGGTTTCTATCAACTTTTGGCCCAGTGTCAAATTAGTGTCCAGAAAATCCATACTTCTGTCACCAGGAATGAGGCCACATGTGGTCCACAGTACCTAGAAGTACTATGACAAGTCATGGAACCAGGGAGAAGACCACTGCCTGCCAAATGCCTCCCTTCCTCAGCAGAAGAAAAGGGAAGGGATGGGGAAAGGAGGACAAGGGTAAGGAGAGAGTGGAGAGGACGGAGATGAGTTACTGTGCAGATCACCCAGATGCTAGGACTTTCATCTTGTTCTCTTTCTTTGTATACTGTACAGCTCTTTAAAGTGTGTGCATGTTGTTTGCCCAACTACTTGGGAACATTTTTGAGAGCAAGGACTGTGTTTCTTATTTTTCTCAGAATTCCTCCATAGCACCCAAAACAATGTGCATAAAAATTCTACTTCAACAAATTCGGATTCCTCAAGTGTGTATGTGTGTGTGTGTTTTTTTTGGGGGGGGCAGGATGAGTATATATTGTTGAGATAAGATATATTTCTCAAACTCATAAGGTTTGCACTCTAGCATGAAAGGACAGCTAGGTGGTACAGTGAATATAGTGCCAGGCCTGTAGTCAGGAAGACTCTTCTTCAAGAGTGTAAATCTGGTCTCAGACAATTATTAGCTGTGTGACCCTGGGCAAGTCACTTAACCCTGTTTGCTTCAGTACAATGAGCTGGAGAAGGAGATGGTGAACTACTCCAATATCTTTGACAAGAAAACCCCAAAAGGGGTCATGAAGAGTCAGACACAACTGAAAAATGACTGAACAACATAAGGATATGACACATGCATGGAACTTGGATCCATGAATAGAATATTAAGAAGGTTCAAAGTCTTATGAGAGGTTGGGGGTAGTGGCAAAAATGTCGGTACTTACTGGGAAGATCAGGGAACACTATTTGACATAGGCTTTAAAGAATGAGTTGGACTTGAAAAGGAGGAGGGGAAAGGAATATCCATAGACATAGGAAGCCATGGAAGTCAAAACATGGAGATGCTGAAATCTAAGCCTAAATGGGGAATGACGAATAGCTTTGTTTGGCTGGATTATGGAGCATGTGGCCAGGGGAAGTAAGTATTAGATAAAGCCCATTGAATTCCTACCAATTCTTTAAATCCTGTCTGACAGAATTCCAAAATCTCATAGTTCCAAAAGGATTTGGAGGCTATCTATTCTAACCAGTTGCTGGATATCTATACCTATAGAGATGCCTCTGCAATGTACTTATAAATCCCTGTCCATCCTTGTCTTAATGACCTCCAGTAAGGGGAAACCCCATGATCCCTTAAGGCAGAGCATTTCACTTTTGAATAGCTCTCAGTATCAGGAACTTTTTATTTGTATCAAACGTAAATCTATCTCTCTTCATGTATCACACATGACTTCTAGTTCTTCTATGTGAGTCCCAGCAGCCCAACTATAAATCCTATTCTTCACAGGTCTTCAAATATTTGAAGGAAATTGTCATGGTCCCTAATTCTTCTCTTCTCCAGGCTAATCCCCAGTTTTTTTAGTTAATCCTCTGACCATTTTACTATCCTGGCTGCAATCTTCTTCATCGATTCCAATGTCACCTCCTCCATGAAGCTGTTCTCAATCTCACTGCTTGGTTGAGTTCCCCACTTGGATTTTACATAGTACTTTGTTAGGTGCCTTTCTAGTGAAATCAGCAGAGAATATTGTATATTATAGTGTATGTATGTATGTGTGTGTATACATGTATATATACATATATGTGTGTATGTGTGTGTATGTATATATTGGTATCTTATCTCTCTCCATTCCCATTAGATTGTAAACCGCATGCAGAAAGGATTCTTCAAAATTTACGTCTTCCCCAGTCACTAGCATAATGCTCTGTATACTGCAAATGCTTAATACATGTTTGATGAATGAATGAATGAATGAATGAATGAATGAATGAATGAATGAGGTCTATTCTTTTTCACTAGATGATGTGATGGCTTGGCAGCTGTGGTTTTACCATGTGGAAGGTGACCATAATCCCCTTTAGGCAGATATGTTGGACTTTAGATGGCAGAAAACAAATTGGCCTGTGGTGGGAGAGGGAGGAAGGGGCTTCATTCTGAAGTTTCCTCTTTGCTCCCATGATCTATCCCAAGTTTGCCCATTTAACTCCCTCCCTGCAGACACATCTGTAAAATTTCTGTGGTCCATTATGAGCTTCACCAGTTGCGTTTCCTTTTTGCTTATCACTCATGCTGCTGACAGAGGCCCCTCAACAATCCTGACCTCCAAACTGATTTGAACTTTAACCAACATGAAGCCAGATGCAGAAGCCAAGCAGTCTTGGGTCTGCTTTATGTAAGGTTTTTTTTGCTGTTTTTCCAAGACTGGAAACTCCAAGATAAAGGAAAGTGTCCTAGAGGTTGACCTTCAGTGGGACCCTAGCCAGCCTGGGCTATGTGTAGCCCAGCTACGTGTGGCTATGACTATCAGTTAACGAGCTGGATTGATGACACACAGACCAAAATTTAACTTGGCAAAAGAGTGTTCTTCCAATTTAATCCCATTGTTGGGGGAAGGGGAATAAGTCATTGTTCCAATGAGTCCATTTGTGGACTCCTTGTTTGGAAGAATAGCTCTCATTTGAAGTTTTACAAAGCACTTCCCAGCAACAGTTCAAAATAGGGCGCTGTAATCATTATCCCCAGGCAGCTAGGTGTACACACAGACCTGTGGTCAGGAAGATGAGTCTTCAGATCTGGCCATAGACTCTTACTAGCCATGTGACCCTGGCCAAATCCCTTAACCTTGTTTTCCTCAGTTTCCTCATCTGTAAAATGACCTGCAGAAGGAAATGGCAAACCACTCCAGTATCTTTGCCAAGGAAAACTCCAAATGGGGTCACGGAGAGTTGGACATGACTGAAATCAATGGATAACAACAACAATCATTATCCCCATTTTACAGGCATAATACCTCCTCTGGGGCTATTACCCCAATATGCTCTTGCACTCATATTTGGGGTGCCTAGAAGGATGGTTACTATTTTATTTAGAGATAACTCTGGGACTCTGTACATCTAATAGTGTTGCTCAGGAACCTCCCCATGAACGATCATAGATTTATTTAGTTTTTAGAAAAAGTATTTACTGAGAAGGCATAATAAGAACAGTAGGTAGAAAACATTCCCCCCAAACTTGGGACACAGTGTTTTACAAATACACATAGTATTCATGGGGAGAGTGGGCACAAACTTCAAGTGCAATCACAGTGAGGCACGTAGACAGAACATATGTGGCAAACAGCTAACTCATTACTCCTGCACTAAAAGTCCTTTAGGAATTCTCTTATGTATTCTCTGTGGGATGGGCCATTCACCCAGGCTCCTGAGTTCCATGCCTTCATAAAGTCTGTAGTTGGTACTCTTCTCTAGACCATGGGAGGCCATATTTCCTGACCTGAGGTGATTATCTTTTTTGCGTCCTTTGCAGGCTTTTCCACTTCTGTCAGTCATCACTGCTTGAGGAGATGATGTTACCACCTCTAGAAGACACCACTACTGTTGCTGTTCAGCACCAGATACCAACAAGATTTGTGATGGTCAAATGCAATGGCCTTTTCTCAATCCTAATCCTTCTTGACCTCTCTGGGACCTTTGACACTTTTAATTACTTTCCTGGATCTTCTCTCCTCTCTGGGTTTTCATGACACTGCTCACTCCTAGCTCTCCTCCTACCTATCTGACTGCCTTCCTTAGCCTGTTTTGTTGGGATCTTCATCTATGTCATGCCCATTAAAAGTGAGTGTCCACCAAGATTCTGCCCTGGGTCCTCTTCTCTTCTCTTCTCCCTTTATGTTATCCCAATTAGTGATCTCATCGGCTTCCATGAATTTAATTGTAAATGATTCTCAGATCTTTTTATCTAGCCTAACCTCTCTGCTGAGCACTAGCCTTCCCTCTCCGATTGCCTTTTGAACATCTTGAACTGGATGTTTAAAGACAGCTCAAATTTAACATGTCCAAAACCAAAATAATTATCTTTCCCCTTATTCATAACTTTCCCGTTACCATTGAGAACATCCCCATCCTCCCAGTTATCAAGTCTCACAACCTAGATGTCATCCTTGACTTCTCTCTTGCACTCACTGCACTTATCCATCTGTTGCCAAATCTGAACTTCAAAGCATCTCTTGTGTGCATCCTTTTATCCACATCCACACAGCCGGCCCCCTCGTATAGATCCTCATCACCTTAGGGATGAACTGTTACAATAGCCTTCTGTTTGGTATCCCAGCCTCAAGCCTCTGCCACTCCAATCTATCCTTTATTTAGCTGCCAAAGTAATTATCCTTAAAGGGCAGGTCAATACGACCTGGCCCTGTGGTACCATTAGAGGGGGTTCTGTAAATAGATGAGAATGGAGGGGGTTATATCTTTTTAAAGACAAATAAGTGATGTATTGGAAAAATCGCTGAATCTGGCCTAACTCTGGAATTTATAGTGTGGCACTGGAAAGAAAGGAGGAAACAAGCCTTTATTAAGCACCTACTAAATGCCATGCTTTATATGCTCAGTGCTTTACAAATATTATCTCATTTCATCCTTACAACAACCCTGGGAGATGGGTGCTATTATAATCCCCATTTTACAGTTGAATAAATTGAGGCAGACCAAGGCTAAGTGACTTGCTCAGGGTCACACAGCTATTGAGTATCTGAGGCTAGATTTGAATTCAGATCCTCTTGACTCAATCTGGCCTCAGATATTTATTAGCTGTGTGACCCTGGGCAAGTCACCAGTTGCCTCAGTTCCTCATCTGTAAAATGAGCTGGAGAAGGAAATGGCAAACCACTCCTGTATCTTTTCCAAGAAAACCCCGAATGGAGTCACAGAGAGTCAGACATGACTGAAACAACTGAACAACAACTTCTTTCCTCCAGACCCACTGCTATATCTTCTGTGCCACCTAGTTGTCTCTAATGGGGCAAGTCCCTTGGCCTTTCTGTACCCCTACCTCCCCCTCTGTGAAATGATAGGCTTGATTAGGTAATATGTGGTTGTTAGCAAGTAGATCTAGAAGAGACCTTAGAGGTCATCTAGTACAGCTTCCAAATTTTACAGATTAGGAAACTGAGACCCATGGAATAGACATGTGTTACCCAACATCACACAGCTAGCAAGTAGTAGAGCTGGGATTTAGTCAGTCAGTCAATAAACATTTATTAAGCACCTACTGTGTGCCAGGCACTGTGCTAAGTGCTCATTTAAACCTAGAGAGGCAGGTTAGTGCAGTGGGAAAAAGGATATATTTGTATTTACCAACTTAGCTCTACCACTTAAACTCTCTGGGCCTCACTTTCCTCACTCTAAAATTAAGGAGTTAGACTCCATGACCTCCAAGGTCACTAGTGACTCTCAGTCTCTCATCCCATGATCTCTAATCCTATGATCCTCATGATTCTGATTTCAAAGTCAGTGCTCTGCCTAGTTCCTTCCAACCCTGATATTCTGTGATTCTGTGGTACATGTGACACATCCTCCCCAAACGGAGGGGTGGGGTGGGCTAGGCAGAGAGATGTGGCCTGTGTTTACCTTGCACCATATGTCCTGGAGGTTTCCCAGGGATGGCTCTGTGATTGTCAGATTGTAAAGAAATATTCCATAAATTTGCACATGGTTCTTTGGCTGAGGAAGTACATAAAAATGTACTCTTGTGATGTGGCCTCTGATACTTTTATATGGGAGAACAGATTCATATTAAAAGATTCAAATTTCAGCCTTGAAAGCTGGTGGGTGTGGGACATATGAACTGACAGTAGATGCCTCAGAGCTCTGTCCTTTCTTCCTGGACTGTTTTAGATGTTGTAGTGACCACTCAGCTGTCTCAACAAATTTTATTTTTAAAATTATGTCTGTTTAGTTTTAAATACTTTTTTCACACGAGAGTTGTTGTTCAGTCGTATCTGATCCCATTTGGGGTTTTATTGGCAAAGTTACTGGAATGGTTTGCCATTTCCTTCTCTAGCTCATTTTACAGGTAAAGAAACTGAGGCAAACAGGGTTAAGTGACTTGCCCAGGGTCACACAGCTAGTAAGTGTCTGAAGCCCCCTTTGACCTCAGGAAGATGAGTTTTCCTGACCCCAGGCCCAGCACTCTATGCACTACGTCCCCTAGCTGTCCTTTTTCAAAGATACGTTCTAAATTGATCCTTTGACATGGAACTCAGTGCCTGGTGAAACAGCCATTTCTTAACAAAATAAGAAATATCTCTTGATATTGAGCTAAAACATTTCTCTCCTTACCCTGGCAGCATTTATCTGTCTAAGCATTATACTATTCTTGTTGTCTATCACTATTTTCTGGGGTCTCTCAGGCTATGCTAATATCATGGATAGAAACCCTTATCATCAGCAAAGCAGGTGGTTAGCCTACATAGTGTGACCTAGGTGGGCTACCTCTGAAACCTCATTCTACCCCTTCCCCAAACATCTCCTCCAATGGCCTGTTGCTGGTCCCTGAAATTCTATGACGCACAGACTTCTTTGTGTTAAGCATTGTCCAAGCCCAGGCTCCTCCTTTACAAAGCAAGTGACTCTGGGAGAAGAACACACTATGGAGAAGACACACCATGTCCTTTATTCCAGGAACTCATCTCATCATATTGTTCAGTCATGTTCGACTCTTCCTGACCCTTTTAGAGTTTTCTTGGCAAAGATAATAGTTCACCATTTTCTTCTCCAGCTAATTTTACAGATGAGGAAACTGAGGCAAACAGGGTTAAGTGACTTGCTCAGGATCCCACACATCTAGTTAATTGTTTGAGGCCAGATTTGAACTTGGATCTTCCTGACTCCAGGTCCGGCACTCTATCCCTTGTGACACCTAGCTAGCCATACTAAGAACAACAGAGTAAATTACATAGAAGCTAATGGCTCAATATAGGGATAGAAGACACGGCTCATGATTTTCATTGGTATTGTATAAGTAGGCTTCCTAAACTTTTTCCACTTGCGACCCCTTTTCTCCCAAGAAATTTTTACGTGACCCCAGGTATATAGGTATATAAAATATAAAATATAAAATTTACTGATAATAAATCATGAAGAAATTTATTTTAAAACAACTTACCATTTATTAAAGATGAAAGCAAATTTGCATACTAATGAGATGGATATGGTTGTTTATTTTTACATAAATAATTAAATCTTGGTAGAATATTTGATACTGAAGGACATAGAGCACCTTAAACGTTTTTCAGAGTTGATTAATATTTTGATTTTATAATTGTTAATGCTGAGATCGCTGATTTGCATAAATACATAGTACAAAATGTCAGAAGTATGTTTAGGGACATTTCAGAAATTGGTGAAAATTCTGTCCTAACACCAAATCAAAATCTGTTTAACATTTTTTTGAAAAGGCAATTGGGGTTAAATGACTTGCTCAGGGTCACACAACTAGTAAGTGTCAAGTGTTTGGTCTGAGGCCTGGATTTGAACTCAAGTCCTCCTGACTTTAGGGCTGGTGCTCTATCCACTATGCCACCTAGCTGCCCTGATTTAACAATTTTTTAAACTCAAGTTTTAAACCTGTGTTGCTTGATAACTCGGCAAATTCTTCTTGAACTTTTAATGGCAGATGACTGACATTTTTTATTTCAATGAACCCAACTTAGTTTTTTAGAATCAAAATTTGAAGGGAAGTATTTCTGAAACTGTGTCTCCAGGTGCTTCAGATAATCAATTATAACTCTTACAATTATGTCTTTGGGAAGGTTATTTTCAGTTATAAAATCATCTGTAGCTATAAACATTTCTAAAAAAAAACATTTTCCATCCTATTCTTCCATATGTTAACTTTTTTAGTAAAACTTTCAATTTTATCTTTTAACATAAATGTTACAATTTTTTCCTTGAAGCAACATGTTTAATCATTGAGTTTTTAAAAAATATCTGACAAACAATACAGTCTTGAAAGTCATAAGTCATTATGAAAAAAATAGCAAAATCAGATTTCTGCTCAGTCAAAAATACAACAATTTCATCTTTCAATTTCAATAATCTGTTTAAATTTTGCCCTCTAGAGAGCCACCTTACCTCTGCATGGAGTAATAAGCTCAGAATCCATGTCTTTCCAAAGGTTTGAAAACAAACAATTGTTAAGGGTGCAGCTTTTAATGAAGTTAGTGATTTTAATAGTATCGTGACGCACATCTAACTCTGGTGATATTTTTTTGGCTACAGGGAACCTCTTGATGGATCATGCAGTGATTAAAAGTGATATATTCATTGCCACCAGCTTTAACTTTTGCTACAAATACAACATGCTTGCCCATCATTGCTCCAGCTCTGTCTGTATAGACTCCAATGCAATTTTTCCACTGTAACCTTCATTTGTGAAAAATTCATCAACTTTAAGATGTATGTCTTCCCCTCTTACGTGCCCTTCCAAAGAGTGACAAAACAATAATTCCTCATGTATGCTTCCTTCATAAACATGTCTTACATAAAGTAACAACTGTGCCATGTTAGAAATATGAGTTGTTTCATGTAACTGAATTGCAAATTTTGGACTGCTCTTAAGCCTGGTAATGAGCTGCTGGAATTGGTAATTACTAATTTCAGAAATTCCTTTGGAAACAGTATCATTCGATAAAGAAATTTTATGAATTTCATCCCCATACTTTTTCCCATGAATTATTTCTGACATTTTAATAGCAGTAGGTAACACAAGATCTCCTATTACATAGGGCTTTTTAGTTTTTGCAATTAAACAAGAAGTTTTGTAAGATACAAATCAATACTTTTC